CAGGAAAGATATATGTTTTAAGCTAATTGATACCCTGCATTTGTTACATACTGACCAAAGGTTTAATATGAGACAACACAGCAATTCACACAATACAAAATGGCGTCATATGGAAAAATGTGTCAAAATGGCGTTCTCATGCATGTCGTCACGTCATGAAAGGTATACAAACTGATAGCAAGCCGGAGGAAATAATATAGATGTAAAAACTCGAGCAAGAGCTCTTTTCATAACCCTATTATTGGACCAGTAGATGAGCTATTGGGTTTGCTAGGAGTCAGTTACAGTCGTGCCGCGGCGCAGCCGCCCACGAGAATGCTCTTCTCGCCTTTTTCCGTAACAGGACATCTTTGGATTGAGCGCTACCGACGTGCCCAGTGGCCTGGAACCCGATGCGCCAGCCACTCGCGCGCTGAGACCCACGTCCCAGCCGCCAGGACTTTTGACATGACCAACAAATGTGACTCCGGTGCAGACTGACCTTTCGAAGAAAGCACAGACTCAGTTTCGATTGCTGTAATTGCACGACGCATTGCTTCTCACCTAGCTTTGTTTCATGTTTCCTACATGTAAAGTTAGATTGCAGCCCAGTCGTATAAATTCAACTCCAGGTGGACCGCTGAAGGCGTCGTGGATGACCAAAAAGGCATCATTTCACGCCCGATTACATTCTTTACCCACAAAGGCCAGTCGGTTGCTCTTCAATACTTACCGATAGGCCTATAGCGTATGGCCTGTCTCTGAAATGCTCCCAACCCACTACAGCTCCTGCAACTGAAGCGTCCAAAAGCTGAGAACCAAGTCAGCCTGGTGCAGAGGTGTATTTTCGCGCGGTTCGGTCCTCCTGAGCGTGAGGAGGAGGAGGGCCGTCTTCTCGGCGGTGCTTCGGGTGCGTAAGGCACCCAGCCGACAACGCGTGCGGTCCCAGCTGCGCTGTGCTCTCCTGACGTGTCTGTCCAATCGTCGCTTCTGGCTTGTTATGGGGAAAGTGTCAGTTTGGCGCCTGGACAGGCGACGGGGTCGCTTGGTGAGCCGCAAATGAGTCGCGTCGAACAGGATCGACCGACATTGGAAGCAAATAGAAACCGGCACGGGGCGCCCGGCGACACATGGGAGCGGAGAGGATGATGGAGGATGCGGCAAAAAACGCTCTTCCCACGTTGGCCAAGACCATGTCGAAGCGCGAAGAGAACCAGGTGCCTTGTCTCAGGCGTGCTACAAAAGCTGAGGACGACACTCTTTGCCGCAGAAACCGTCGGAACGCCAGGAAGACAACAGCATCACAAGATCTGCGTTAGACGTTCAGAGTCCTGTGGAAACAGTGCGTATTGTGGGGACAATCGAAAATCCTGTTCGCTGAAAGGTATGACCTGCGCTGGCGAAGTATGTGTGCCACTCAGTGTAAGCAGGGCAGGGATCTGAGCTAATGGTGCTAATGTGAACATTGGTGCTTTGTTTCATGAAAGCAACTCAACTAGAAGATAATGAAAAGCATGGCACTGCATCCAAAGCAGAAACTCCGGTCACTTTCGTCACTCAACTCTTGTCTACGTTCCTGGTGCCAGCTCCGGGACCATTTCGCCCAACAAGGCCACGCTCATATGCGCCTGTGCGCTCTCCTCGTTCAGATGGAGTTCTCTCTTTTGGAATATGTCTTTTCAGTACCACAACGACTGCTGTTTTTGGAAGACAACCATGAAAAAATAAAAGGATTTTTTAAGAACTTGCTTCAAAAAAGACCGTGACTTTGGTCTTTGTTTCTGGAATAGGTTTTCCACGTAGCACTGTGTAGTACGACTCGGGCTTTTGCAATACTGTTGCCTATTTGATCTGTGACATTGCAATATTTTGTTTCCGTATTTTTGGTGCCGAATCATGCGCTCGCATAAACGTGCAGCGGTGTATTCAGGGGAGGGGAGGAGGGGGGGGGGGGGGGGGGGAGCGGAAACAGTCCTCATCAAAGTTTTACAAGTGTCAATATTATGAGAGTGAATGTCAAAAATCAAAACATCATCAAGCACCCTCGAAGCGTCAAAACATCGAAGTAGATACGTAGAATCGAATGGATATTGGAAATATGATGCTGTAATTCTCCATGCCAGAAATTCCACACGCCTCCTGCTTACCAAAAGGGGTTTTCATTGAAGAATTTAAAATTATGCCTCAACATGCTGCAAAATGCTGTATACTGTCAGTTTGCACCTTAATTTCTTCGTCCGAATTACCAAGCACCAATACCATGCCGACCCTTGTCTGTACGACAAAAGAGCAGCTCTGGTTGCTCCTGTTGTAAAGGCGCACACCTGATGCCAGGGTTATGCCGTTGCTTTCAGATGGCAACTGCGGCCTGTCTTCTTCTCGTCTCCCTGGCTGTCCTGTCGGCGGCCGACCAGCACAGAGACGACCGCTTCTACTCCAGTAGCGGACCCAGCTACCCGAGCAGTGGCCCTAGCTACCCGAGCAACGGCCCAAGCTACCCTAGTCAGACCAGGCCCGGCGGAAGCATCGTCAGCGGGTGAGACTGAGGAGTGTCATGCATGAGTACTGGCCGTGTTCAGCCAAGGACGAATGCATTGCGGCTGGCTTCATAGATCTCTGTTCCACCACAATCAGCCGACAACGGTCCTAGCTCATGGAGAGTGGGCCCAATCGGAAGCCCAAATGGGCAATGAAGCAGTGACTGCGACCGTCCAAGAAGTGCTCACATCTGCTCCGGTGGAACTCCGTAGAGTGACTTCGCAATCGGTTTGAACACGCGAACTTGAACCTGCGAATAACAGCACAATCCTGACTGCAGGTTCGGTTTTTCTGCTCATGTCCGGCCGTCCATGCTGCCAATATTTATGGATGCATGCCGAACCGCTTCGGTAGTTGAAATCCTCCATTGACGCAGACCCCCGCCTTGAGGTCGATATCCCATGCAGACGGCACCTTTCGCCGCCGACTGACATGCGCTAGCAGAAATTGACTACAGCAGAAACTAGCTAGCAGAAAATGGTCATTCCGTTCACACGTGGAAGAGGCTGGTACATGGCTAATGTGGCAGCTGAGAAGCTGAGCGCCCAGCGACCAGCTGATAAGTTCTCATAGCGCGATTTAAACAGGTTCGGTGAGGTGCCTAGATGTGCTTGATTGAGGTGATTTTGAGAAGCTGATTTAAGATCCAAAATTGTAAGGAACCAACTCATTTATCGTTGCGAAGACATGCTGACGTAACTGTGTCTCTTCGTCATATGCACGGCGACGGGGCGGACATTGCTTAGGTGTGGTTTGTGCACCTGACGCTTAGCTCACAGATTGCATTATTTGCCCGTCACTGTGTGAGTCCACTTGCGGTATATCATATGCAGACATACGACGAGCCCTGTCTTTGTTTCAGTCTGGTCGAGAAATACTTCCGGCCCATCTCCGACAGAACGGATGCTGGCAGCCTTGGTAAGAACACTGTGGCTCTCCACGCCTCCGCTACAGATGTCTGAACAGTGAACATATTAGCTGAACATAGTAGCAGCATAGTACATAGTAGTTCACGCCCACCACGGCAGACACCCGACACGAATAACTGAAAACTGATGCACACCAAACAGATTCCTTTGCCAAGAATTAACGTACAACACGTCGTGTCAAGCTGTGACCTTTCTGATCCAAGAATGTGTGTCATGGTATCTGTTCCACACGGTGAGCTTTTGTGAGCTAGGGGACTCTGTACCACAACCATTGTACCACTGCGTCATTGGAGGTGCAGGGCCGGTCCCCACCTCACCGGCTGTGCTCCGGCCTCATCAGCTGCAACGGGTTGGGGCGTGGGGGGGGGGGGGGGGGGGGGGGGGAGCAACGATTACGAATTGTCCACAGTGCCGTATAACACCCGCACGGGGGTTCTAATTGCTGACAAGATCCCGTTGTTTGCAGCGGGTGCTCTGTTCCCGTCGTTCTCATTGTTGGCAAGAGCCCGTTGTTTGCAGCGGCTGCTCCGTTGCTGTTGTTCTCGTTGCTGACAAGAGCCGTTGTTTGCAGCGGCTGCTCCGTTCCTGTTTTTCTCATTGCTCATTTTGGCGGCGATCGGCTTTGCCGCGATCGGATGGGCGCTCACCACCACGCTGAACTCGTCCGGACGAGGTCTGGAGGCGGACAGCTGGGAGATCAACCACTCGGTCTGGATGGACCAGCTCACCAGGGACTTTGAGGACTCATGGTCTCAGTGATTCACCTACGGCAACTGGATGAGGCAAGACACAGTACAAGAAAGGAAGAGGACTTGTAGTATCCCTATGTCACCGTGATATTGTTATTGTTGTTGTTATTAAAAGGACGCTGCTGTTACGGGACAAACACGTGCGATACGACCGTTGAGAAACATTCCGCACAATTGTATTGCGCACTGGAGGGTTGAAACCTCTGATAGGCGGACATGTTTATTTAGTCGGATTTGTTGTTATGGAGCATTATGGCACACACAGCTGACATTGGAGCCTGCTAAGAGCTTCTGATGCAGAAATAAAATGCCAAAAAAATAGCACCTGTATCTGGTTTGGCCACCTCGAAGAAGCACGCAGCTGATGCCGATTGAAGCATGGAAAAGACCAGCCGCCCTACAAGAGCGTAGCCGTGGCGTGGCGCACCCCAGTGGACGGGGGTACCTCACGGCGATGGCAGGGGACGACCGTCCACCAGACGGCTCTCGGTCACGCCCAGCCAGTGGTGCCTGCACAGGGAAACCAACCCTGCCCGGATGTTTATCGTTAGCTCGGCGCGGGGTCGGCATGGTCAGCGGAAGCCGTTCGACTAGGCCACCGTGGGCGGCGGAGCCTGCAAGTCCTTGAGCCCCTCCCTCCCCACGAGTCTGCAGTCGTGCGCCTCCACGACGGCGGTGGCAGGGGTCGCGGACGCCGCCCCATCGCGGCGAGGAGCCGAGCTGACGCAAGCCTGTCAGCGTCTGCACCCTCGGAGGACGCGTCAAGGTGCCGGCCGGCGGCAGATGGCCGACTACACTCTCCATCAGAGCACTCTCCAAGGTACCGGCCGGCGGCAGATGGCCGACTACACTCTCCATCGGAGCACTCTCCAAAGTACCGGCCGGCGGCAGATGGCCGACTACACTCTCCATCAGAGCACTCTCCAAGGCGCCGGCCGGCGGCAGATGACCGACTACACTCTCCATCAGAGCACTCTCCCAAAGTACCGGCGGCGGCAGATGGCCGACTACACTCTCCATCGGAGCACTCTCCAAAGTACCGGCCGGCGGCAGATGGCCGACTACACTCTCCATCGGAGCACTCTCCAAGGTACCGGCCGGCGGCAGATGGCCGACTACACTCTCCATCGGAGCACTCTCCAAAGTACCGGCCGGCGGCAGATGGCCGACTACACTCTCCATCAGAGCACTCTCCAAGGCGCCGGCCGGCGGCAGATGACCGACTACACTCTCCATCAGAGCACTCTCCAAGGTACCGGCCGGCGGCAGATGGCCGACTACACTCTCCATCAGAGCACTCTCCAAGGTGCCGGCCGGCGGCAGATGACCGACTACATTCTCCATCAGAGCACTCTCCAAGGTACCGGCCGGCGGCAGATGGCCGACTACACTCTCCATCAGAGCACTCTCCAAAGTACCGGCCGGCGGCAGATGGCCGACTACACTCTCCATCAGAGCACTCTCCAAAGTACCGGCCGGCGGCAGATGGCCGACTACACTCTCCATCAGAGCACCTCTCCAAGGTACCGGCCGGCGGCAGATGGCCGACTACACTCTCCATCAGAGCACTCTCCAAGTACCGGCCGGCGGCAGATGACCGACTACACTCTCCATCAGAGCACTCTTCACGGTGCAATAACTTGCATGCGGTGCAGATTTGATTCATCCGGTTGGTTACAATGCGATGCAGTTTATTGTGCGCGTACTTTTGCAAATGGTTGAAGCACGGCACGTTATTGCTGTTTTATGGTGCGCAACCTAGGTTCGCCCTCGGGTGTGCCGTGTGGTACTATACTGTTCGGAAGAACAGCGTGCGAGTGCCCCTCTGATCCCAAGTAACAAGACCGACAGAACACCAATTATTCTGATGGGTAATTACCAGCAAGACACCACGTACGTCGCCGGGAGAGTGACAGTCAGAAAAGGCAGCATGTCATGCCAATGCAGAGGACATCAAAACCTCGGGGAATGAGGTCCGGCGTCTTTGGAAGTGGTCGTAGCAAAACGGTTCACCCGCTGCACTTGAATATCCGGCTTTCGTGATATTGTAACATGCAAACGTATGTGGTTTTCAAGCGGATTGATTGAATATCTTGGTTTGGAGTTCATGCCACGCAGTGCTTGTGTGAAACCTTGCGAGATCTGAACATGCAATGGCAGCTTTGCTGTATAGCAATGTTCGACACGGTCAGCCCGCCCTCTGACCTCATGTCACTTTTAAATGGCCGCTGCCATCGATCGTGGGCCAGTTCAGTCGGGGCACACAGCGAGGGCCAAAGCTGCTTGGATCCAGCCAACCCTCCAGAGCGTCAAAGCAAAGGCAGCTTGAACCGACCACCCATAACGCCAAGGGGTGAGTTGGGAGACAAGTGCTTTGACCGCTAGAGCTACGAGGTGGGCGACTGGCATGTTACTTTGACAGATGCTTTTAAGTGAATTAGTGTCCGTCTGTCTGTCTCAAATGTCATTAAATACCTTCGTGTTGGCTTAGGAACTATGATCAACATGGAGCTATGATTACCATATGATTATGGTATTACCTAAAATAACAAGCCTATAGCTCACAGATATGTTGATAGCACATGCCCTTAATAAGGTATACAGGATACTCGGACTGAGTGGACTTCAAATGAAATCTATTGAGCACTGTTTCATTCGGAGAATCAATACGGCGTATATGCTTCCCATGGATCAAGAGCAATACAACCGTAGAACAGCCTTCCGGAAAGGCTCGAATGGTCTACAGATGCGATGAGCAGTGCTCACTACCATCCGTGGTGATGTTGATGGTCACATCACATCACACCACATCACATCACCGGCCACATGTACAAGCAGTGCTCTCCGGCCACATATGAGTAGTGCTCACCGGCCACATGTGATGAGTAGTGCTCACCGGCCACATATGCATTGCATTTGCGTCTTTTGCGTTTGCATTTGCACAATGCATTTTTGAGAATAAAGTGGCCAAATTCTGAAAGATTGTTTTACTTTTTAGCAAGGTTTAGAATGTAGCAGCCGCACGCGGTGCCTTATAGGGCCAGATATCTCATGTCTTCGGCGGGCCTCCCCTTGGCAGTGGCATGGCTTCTCCACTGCCTACTTCTGCTACTTGCAGGTAGTGCTGTTATTATCGCCATTTACCGGCGCGGGGTTTTCGCCTGCTGTTGGGCTCGGAAGGGAGCGGCGCGACATCGCGGAAGGCTACACGCCTGAAGTGCGCAGCAGCGAATCATCTAGCGCCGGGGCCGCCTATTCTACGCATGTCAGGTGGGCTTCAGACATTCCGCAAGTGTATTTGAAGGCATCGGGCAGTTTTTCGTAATCTTATCTCTTACTTCCGAAAGGCAGACTGTTCGCTCCATCTTATTATGCATATATCGCATAAGATGTCGGGTCATATGTGGCCAGTGAGCATTGCTCTTGATATCTAGTCGGTCACCACTGCTCATGATATGTGGCCGGTTGAGCACTACTCGTCATATGTGGCCGGTGGGACATTGCTCATGCTATGTGGTCGGTGAGCATTGCTCATCATATGTAGTCGGTCAGCACTGCTCATGATATGTAGCCGGTCAGCACTGTCCATGATATGTAGCCGGTCAGCACTGCTCATCGCATCCGTGGACCCATTCGAGTCTTTCCGGGAGGCTGTTCTACGCGTCGTTATTGCTCTTGATACATGGAAAGCATATATGCCGCATTGATTTCCCGAATGAAATAGTGCTCAATGGATTTCATTTGAAGTCCACGGAGTCCAAGCATCTGTATACCTTATTAAAGGGCATTTGCTAATCAACATGTCCTGTGGGCTAAAAGCTGGTTGTCATAGGTGATACCATAACCATATGGTAATCATAGCTCCATGTTGATCACAGTTCCTAAGCCAACATGAAGGTATTTAATGACATTTGAGACAGACAGACGGACATTAATTCACTTTAAAGACATTTGTCAAAGTAGCATGCCAGACGCGCATCCCGTAGCTCTATCGGTCAAAGCACTTGTCTCCCAACTCACCCGTGGCGTTATCGGTGATCGGTTCAAGCTGCTTTGGCGCTGGTGGAGGGTTGGGTGGGTACAAAGCAGCTCTGGCCCTCGCTGTTTGCCCCGACTGAACTGGCCCACGATCGATGGCAGCGGCCATTCAAAGTGACATGAGGTCAGAGGGCGGGCTGCCCGTGCCGAACATTGCCCTACAGCAAAACTGCCATTGCACGCTCAGATCTCGGTAAGGTTTCACACAAGCACTGCGTGGCATGACTCTAAACCAAGATATTTAATCAATCCGCTTGAAAACCGCATTGGTTAAACCTAAATCTGAAACTGAATCGGGTTACTAGCGCTCGATTCTTTGAACCTTTTCCATGACAGCGGGCGTGACCCCCGCAGCCTGCCAGGGGTCGCACCCATCCGCCAGGCTAGCAGGATGGATGCGCCGACATCTGGTGGAAAATCGGCAGGGCAATGGATATCCGGTTGAAGATAGATCATCCATCTTTGAAAGGCCACTATTTGCCGGAAAATTTTGCGATGACCGCAAACTTTTCATTCATCGCAAAATTTTCGGCAAATAACGGCCTTTCAAAGATGGATGTTCTACCTTCAACGGGTCACCCATGACCTGGCGATTCCCCACCAGATGCCGGCACATCGTCTGGCGTGACCCCTGGCAGACTGCGGGGGTCCACGCCCGCTGTGCGCGCCCCTGGCAGACTGCGTAGTCACGCCCGCTGTGCGCGTCCCTGGCAGGACTGTGTGTGTCACGCCCGCTGTGTGTGCCCCTGGCAGACTGCGGGGTCACGGCCCGCTGTGCGCGGCCCTGGCAGAACCGGGTGGTGTCACGCCCGCTATGCGCGGCCCTGGCAGACCGCGGATTCACGCCCGCTGTGCGCGCCCTTGGCAGACTGCGGGGGTTGCGCCCGCTGCACGCCCCCCCCCCCCTCCTGGCAGGCTGCGGGGTCACGCCCGCTGTCATGGAACGGGTTTTGAGTAGAGCGCTAACAAGCCGATTCCTTCAGGCGGAGGTCTGCAGCCCAACAGTCGACGCGTCTCCGCGGTGGACCCCCCAGCGGTGGATGTGTTAGCCGTTTACAGGCGTCTCCAGCAAGGGCGGGGGGACGGGGGGGGGCGGCAGTTTACCCCATCCTCAAAATAAATTTCGCTGAATCCGGGGAATAAATGAGAAATATGACTGGAGGAAACGTAGGTAGATTAGCGTCTTTGTATACGGAGTCGAATACTCTTTTTCCCTGGACTAGGTTTTGGCTCCTCAGCGTAACAATCCCGTCCTTGGCTCTTGAACCATTTCATGGCAGGACGAGCGCACCTGACGTGAATGAACCTCGACATCAAGTAACCGATCAGATTAAGGAAGCGTCCAAACTGGTTGTGTGAACAAGCGCTATCAACAGCTTAACGCTTTGTCTACAGTGCGCGTCGCCTTTTGTTTTCAGATCAGGTGCGCATCACACCGTACCTGATTATCACGACACTGTTGCTGATGGGAGTAGGTCTCGTCTTATACCACCTCTACAGTGACGCCACCGGCTCAAGATGGCGGTTTGCTTACTAGCGGCGACTCAAAAAAGTACTTTTCAGTATAGGGACGTCCAGGATCCGTGCTGGCAGAAAAGGCACGTGTTCCTCGGCCCGAACCGTCACTGTGTGCGGTGCAGGATGCGGCGTCGTGTTGATTTGCTGTGCTTCATCTTTTGTGCGGGATACATGCCGTCTGCCACCAAAAGAGTGGTCTGCTTCGGAGAAAGCCTCAATTCTGCCGCCTGCCTGGCCAGTAGCCTGGTGGCTTACCACTACTTAATATATTCGCTGGATGTTCGTTGAATGTTCGTTGCATGAAGTTGAATGCAAGTGCTGAAACATAGTTTGGGTGATCAACGATTAGCGGATCTGGCTAAGACACATTTCAGGAGCCAATTTGCTATAGCATGCTCCTTGGAGCCATGCCCTCGAACCACATATGCATGCTGTCACTAGTGCAAGAATATGGATTGATCATTAGACGCATATTTCAACACTTGCATTGGTGACTTTGCGGCGTGAGCAGAGTCGGTAAGTTGTACACCAGTTTGACACCGACTCCATCCATAATCACGGCCCACGTCTTCAGTGAAGGCTGGTGCACAACTTGCTGTATAATGAACACAACACATGAACGTATGAATGCGCGTAATGGGTAAACAAATGCGTCTGCCGTATCTGTCATCTAATCTACGTGCACAGCATAGCGAGCGTCCGAATTTGCCCCCTTAACATGCCTCAATCCATGCTAGTTTCCAAGCCGATCTGTAGATCTGACAAGTCATGGAGAATAAGTTCAAATAACTCCGCTATTTTAGTCAATAAAAAAGGCCATCTCAACCTTCCTATCTCCCTCCCTCCACTCTTTCTCCCTCTCCCTCTCCCTCTCTCTCTCTCTCTTCTCTCTCCTCTCTCTCTCTCCTCTCTCTCTCTCTCTCTCTCTCTCTCTCTCTCTCTCTCTCTCTCTCTCTTCCATTCTCTCAGTGACACAATTCCAGGCCCTCAAAGCAAACGGCGACCTCAAAGGGGTCATTAATGGCGGCCGCGCGCCACTTCACCCAATCAGACCATCGCACCCTGTGGGGGATCCTCACCTTCCGCCGGCGCCGGAGACAAACAGGAACCAGAGCCGGGTCGTCAACACTCTGGAAGTGGGGAGTAGCCCTTCCAGGCCGACCCACAGCCTGCGGCTGTAACGTCACAGGAAGGGTTGCGGTGTTTGCGTGCTCCTGGGAGCCCGAGTGGCCAGAATCTTCATTCCTTCTTCACCAGCCTTACGATAAGGTAAGACAGGCTGCTCCGCTGTCAGGCGGGCACCTTAGGCGTTGTTTCATGGAACAACATGCTAATTTTCAATCATGCTAATGACTTTTAGAAAATCACTTAAGATACAGTCCAGTGCCTGCGTCTAATGACTGGCTTCCACGGGAGCGACAATTCACGACCCTAGAAAGCTGTTTATCGAACCGACCTTCTGTGACCGTTTACTTGGTGCTTGGATGCTTCCCCATGGATGTGCAGGCAGAGCCCAATTTGCTTCTGCCTGGTGTTACTCAGTGTTGATTTGTCTGCGCCCGTAATGGTCCTGGATGCCGTCACCCTCCAGCGAGTTGTACGGACCGACAGACTTTAGAGGAGCGTCCACTTCTGAGAGAGGCTGCTCTCGTGGCTTTTGAATGCAAATGACGATTAGCATACGAATGAATATGGTCACTGATGGGTCCGTTAGCTGTCACCTACGACCATAAGGCTCAGACGTGGCTTATGCAAAGAAGATTTCCAATAGAAATGGTGTCTAGATAATATTTGATATTGAGTGTCTGTTTTCCTATTGGTCGACGCAATAAATGACGGCTAACCATGTAAACAATGGCGTCGGCAACAGAATGTATCTTCACAGCAACGATATCTGGCCCGGCAGAAGACCTGCATTGCCTTGTCCTCCGGGTAACATGCGCGCTGTTCTTGGACGCCAGCAGACATGTGGAAGCAGGCGACTGTCGCCCTCCTGTTGGTGGTCGTGGTGGTCCCGACGGCCGAAGCGGACGCCAGCACCTACGGCCACCACGCGACGCCGTACAAGCAGCCCGCCTACTACCCCAGTCGGTACCACCAGTATCCGTGAGTAGTCGCCGGCTGCCGGCGACCGGAGACAGGCGGAGGCAGTCGGTTACGTTGGGATCAAGAATGACGTGTATGTTTCTAGGTGGCGTGCCAAACAGCCGCGCAGCTCTGCGGCGCTGTGGGGTCACAGAGACGCGCAGTGCTACCTAGGCGAGCAACACTGGACGCGTACCTGACCCCCATTCGCGCAAAATGGCATTCATGTAACAAATTCACACAAGTGAGTCAAATAGCTAATAAATAAATTCATGACGAACAAGAAAAGCTTTGAAATACGTTACCCCACCCGCGAGCCTCTGCCATAGCCTCTTCATCCCAATCGCAAGCCGTGCGTAGTGTTCATAATCCGGCTCGCATGAAACGATCCACTGCTGCGTTCCTCAGAATAGACACGGAATGCGTGGGGGTCTCAGGTGGAGCCGCACATGCCAGCCAGAAACATTGTGATGATCAAGGTCACGTGGGATTTGGGGGCGCGTCGATATCAAAGGTCTTATTACGCCCATAACGGCTGTTTCGGGCTGTGTTATTTGTTAACTAGCGAGGACAAATACAGCTGAAAATTTGATGCATCTTAGAACTGCAAACAACTGGCCTGAGTGTAACAAAAAGTGTCGCCTCCCAACATGTCGCGATAAGTCAAACATGACGCTTGCCACCCAAAATGACGCAGTCGTTCGTCCTTGAAATGTGGACAGGGGTAAAACGCATGATAAACTGTCAACGGCGCATGGCATTCAGGGCATTGAAGTCTCCCGCCGCCACATAACAGACATCCATTTATCGCGTAAGAATGGCCAATTTACAGCCGGCACAGAGCGACCACTTCCCACTTAGCCGCTCACGAGCTAGACGGCCAAAGGCCCAACAGTGGCTTTATCATTCTTAGCTTGTTGCTTTCGTGTCTCAGACGCGTTGCAATTTTCTTTTCAGATAAGCTGTGATGGATGAATAGAAATTCCTAGCTAGGACCGCAAACAACGTGCGCAAGGCACATGAGGGGCCCGCTTTGCGCCGACGTCGGCAAGCTCGTCTCCCGCTATCCCCACATGGCTTGGAATCCAGCATAGTACCAAAGTTTTGACCATGCCTATCAGCTTGTGAAACAAGACAAAATGTCCTGTAAAAAGGGACACAACAGTGGGCGCTAGACAAATCTGCACCATTGATGAAACAAAACGGGGATTTTGACTACATACTTCAGAATCAGCGTTGACGTCTTTGCGTTTGATCGTTGTCGTTTTTTCACTGCTCCTGCTCTGCATATCACGCTTAAAACTGGGTCTGAGCCCTTCGGATGGATGAATTTCTGGGAACAGAGCCCGCCCTATGCAGGGCTTGTTGCGCAAGCCCTGACTTCTACCATCCGATCATTACATTTTAGGTCAACGGCAGAATATGGTGGAGAAGGTAATACGTGCAGCTACGCTCAGCACGGTCTGTCCTGCGTGCAGCTACG